CAGAGAGCCGATGGATATGTCGCTTCTTGGAATAATAAAGGATACTGAGAGCCTCTGAACACTGCCAACTGATGGAAAAGGAGGTGAGCGATTTTAGTCAATTCCCTTTATTTCCTATTGCCCCCGATTCAATACGCCATCTTGCTCTGGAGTCTCCCTCAACCCTGAGCTGACTTTAAGGAAATGCAGTGAGTGAGAGTGATCTGGAAAAATGGGCAAGAAGTGAGAATGTCCCGTGAGTAAAAATATATTCATATGGACAATATTCTGAATTTCTAATGTCTTATTAGAGAGAAAGCAGATGGCTTGACTGTTATTGACTTTCCATTAATCTCAAAAAGCTAAGCAGGGTCAGACCTGATTAGGATTTGGAGGGAAACCATTAAGAAAACTACTAAGAAAAAAAAAAAACTAGGATTGGTGCCTAGTCTGGAAAGTAAGGAAATAAATAAATGGAAGACTCAGAAGAAAGCAATGCCTAATCAGTTTGTTTATTTATTTATTATTATTTATCATTTATCATTTATCATTTATCTTTTTTGTTTGTTTGTTTGTTTGTTTGTTTGATTGATTTATATGCTGCCCTTCTCCGGAGACTCAGGGCGGCTTACAATGCTTTTAAGCAATAGCCTTCATACTTTTGTATATACCTGCTTAGTAGGGCTTTTGCCCCCCCCCCCAAGCGGTGTTCTATTTTATACAAAGTCAGCTTATTGCCCCCACAAACCGGGTCCTCAGTGTACAATCAGTTCAGTGTTCAAGCAAGACAATGCAGTGATGTGTCTGTAAAGTCACCAGATATCAAGCTCGACTCAAAGGAAACTCTACTGTGTTTATTATATAATAAAGCTTATAACAGAACTTTTCCTATATGCAATAGAATGTATGACAAACCCTGGGAACTCAGAGGATGAAACGGGACCATTATAGGAGGGAAGACCATTACAGAAATGATTCCTTAGTCCAGGAGAGTGGGAAAGCGTGAGAACAAGACTCAGTAACTCCACCTTAATTTTGCCAAGTTGATCTGAAGACTTGCTTTGGCAGGCTTTCAAGATTCTGTTAACTTATCCTACTTGCAATAAATGGTATTCCAGAAATCTGGGTGCTTCTTGTTTCCTGAGTGCACCAACCTCAACAGAATTGACAATATTGTAAGTGGAATGCAAATCTATCACTATACATACAGTTAAGACTCTAGATAAAACTGCTTAATTTTATGCAAAGTAGATACCAAAGGGGTTGGAGGAACTAATCTTACTTTTGGCTTTGTGTAATCATACAAAGCATTTTGCATTATCTGAAATGCAGAAATGTAAAGAGAGCTAGAAAGTGTACTCGCAAACTCAATATTTGTGAATAAGGTGAAATTCTTCCTCACCCCAAAATTTTCTCATATAAGGAAAAAGAGATGCTTTATTTTTGTTTCCACAATATTGCAATGCAATTCCACAATTATTGGCTTATCAGACTTTCATTTCTCATTACAAGAACTAGTCCTTCAGCCCAAAAACATAATGCACAGTATTATACATTGGCCAAAATTACTGTTGCTGGGGAAACCAAATTGCAGCAGAATGCATGAATGGCAGAATAATATGTTAACTCTTCATTTGACTCATCAGGTACAGTTATTTAAATACAGTATGGATGCTTTTCATTTTTACCAGCAAGGCAATGCTCAGAGACTACCATATTTTTCGCACTATAAGACGCACCTGACCATAAGATGCACCTAGGTTTAGAGGAGGAAAACAAAAAAAAATAAATCAGGTGGAGCCTGAGAAGGCCACAGATAGGCGTCCTCTCATGTGCCAGCTCTATTGACTCCTGCACTGTGGAAAAGAGACAGAAGATGCAGGAAATGACAAAAAAGAAGATGCAGGGTTCAGCACTGTAAAAGGACCCCACCACCACAGCCTGGCTGCTATTGACCAAAGGACCAGGTCCGTCCACTTTTTTGGGGGGGGGGGGGGAGGAGTGTGTCTTATAGAGTGAAAAAAACGGTACTTACCTTTTATTATTCTGACTGCATTGGAAAGGCAGCTAGGAGATTCTCAAACATTCTGATTTATTTCAAACGAAAGCAAAAATAAAACCCTATATCACTTTTCTTTTAAAAGTATGCGCTTAGTGTTTCCCCCTTAAGTTTCGGCTCTTGTCCAAATGCAAAATTAAATGGATATTTCTTCTTTAAAAAATGCAGTTAATCTGCAGGTTTTAATAGTGTACAGAAACAATATCAACTGTGTTCTGCCTCTGATATGAAAGTAGACTATATGAGAAATAATAAACAAAATTAAATGAAGTACCATGTGCCTGATCCATCTGCTCTAAAAGAGAAGAGGCAAAAGCTGAGGGAAGCAAGATTCGATGTTCATTTCAGTGCTTCTCAAAGACAGACAATTTGGTATTGTCCAGATGTTTTGAGATTCAAATGTTATCCCTTTTAGCCAGCAAAGAAATATTGGTGTAGGTTCAAAACATTTCCAGTACATTGGGTTGGCTGAATTTAGTATACAATCCGCGCATCTGGGCTAACCTCAATTTCTTGCAATTTCTTACAAGAACTATTAAATTTATTTACTTGGATATTTTATGTGCAAAATTCTGGTTATCGCTGACATAGCCAAAAGATTATATAGCTTGTTCAGTGACCCTCTGAACAGAGATTTTGAGTAATTTACCTCTGATTCAGCAAGAAATAAAAAATTATTCATTATGTTGTGAATTATTCATACTTCCATGGTAAATAATTAAAAATTATCAATTAAGTACAGTTGTCCAGTGATAATGGAATAAGGTTTTTTAAAAAATGAAGTTAGCTTGAAAAACCTCCACTCATTAAAATATCTGAATAATAGAAAGCAGTAGGATAAATCATAACTTTTATTCTTTGCATCAGGTCATGAATTTTAGGCTAACTCTCTGAGTTTCTTATTCCTTTTTAAATACCAAATATGGGGAGTAGTCTACAAAAAGACCTTAATGTATTTTACCATAAAATAATATCTTATATCTAGAACTGAGTACTCTATATGCTGCCTTTCAATTAATGTTGCTACCAAATTTACTTTATATAGGTAAAGGTAAAGGTAAAGGTTCCCCTTGCACATATGTGCTAGTGCTTTCAAACTGCTAGGTTGGCAGAAGCTGGGACAAGTAACAGGAGCTCACTCTGTTACGTGGCACTAGGGATTCGAACCGCTGAACTGCTGACCTTTCGATCGACAAGCTCAGCATCTTAGCCACTGATCCACCGCATCCCTATTTACTATATATAGACTATTATTTATTTATTTATTTATTTATTTATTTATTTTTATATGCCGCCCTTCTCGGGAGACTCAGGGCGGCTTACAATGCGTTAAGCAATAGCCTTCATACTTTTGTATATTTTATACAAAGTCAGCTTATTGCCCCCACAAACCGGGTCCTCATTTTACCCACCTTAGAAAGGATGGAAGGCTGAGTCGACCTTGAGCCTGGTGAGAATTGAACTCGCAGTAATTGCAGGCAGCTGGATGTTAAATGCTGCCTTAGTAGGAGGCATTAGCCTCCTACGCCACTCAGGCTTCTATATATTTACTATATATAGACTACTATAAAGCTGAAAGTGTGGTATTTTTTGGGGGGGGGGGGAAGCAAATAAAAGAAGAAGAAAAATTGGTCATCTATATTTCAGAGTTAACCTACAGTAAAAGTGATCACTTTTAGTACAAGCATGTTTCTTGGTAGAACATTTTACACAGCATCTTTCATCAAAGGATTCTGGAGACCTTTACATGAATAAAATCAGATAAGTTCCATATAAATAATAGAAGACAGCATTTTCATTTCAATATGAAAATCAATATTGGTGCCTAATCACAACTCCTCGGATCCCAGACATTTCCGAAGCTCAAAATAAAATTGCCTAAACAGAATTGGCCATTGTGTGTTCTTCCAATCCCAATTGTACTTGTATATCAACACAGCTCAGAACAATAAACACAGCACAGCTGTTTTGTGAAGAAGTGAATAAAATCCCTTCTTAATATGTATTCTATTTACTATGGACAGGTTCTAAACAATAATTTACAACTAGAGTTCTAACAGGATTTTTGAACAGCAAACAATATACTCTGTACTCAGAGGTACTTCCTATCACTCCTTTATGTTCAATGTATTTATACATATTTATTTTACAGTATGTTTTACTGCATCTGTAATATTTTGTGGATGGTATACAGTTCATTGTAAATAAATATGCTGAACTGTCAATTATAGTATCGGTAGTCCTCGAATTACAACCACCATTGAGCCCAAAAGTTCTGTTGCTAAATGAGATATTTGTTAAGTGAATTTTGCCACCATTTTATGCACAATTCATAAGTCAATAACTGCAGTTGTTAATAACATAGTTGTTAAGTGAAACTGGCTTGTCCATTGATCACATGACCCCAGGATAATGCAACTAGGATAAATATGAGTCAGTTGCCAAGAATCTGAATTTTGATCACATGACCATGCGGATGCTGCAAAAGTCGTTACTATGAAAAATGGTCATAAGTCACTTTTTTCAGTGGCACTGTAACTTTGAAAGATGACTAAATGAACTGTTGTAAGTCGAGGACTACCTGAAGAGTGAAAGCAATGTCAAACTTTATGTCAGTGCTCTTCCATTCATGCAGGTATACTTCTTCCCATCCCTCCAGACATTTAGAATAGATGCAGAGGATGCCTTAAGGGAAAAGAAAGAATTTGTTTCTTTCAGGAATACTAGTTAGTGGATGGATGTCAGTGGATGTTTCATTTCATTTCATTGTATACTTGGAGGGCACCTTGTTGCTAATCCATCTCACAATGGCCATGCATTATTATTGTTCTTTATCATTTTAAAATGGCTGATATTACTGTGAACCATTCTATAGCATTTCCCATTTATTTTAAGGAGAAAATACACCTGAAGTACTGTATCTGTATAGGGAGAAATGAGAAAGAAGGTTGTACTGCTCTACCTGTGTCCTTCCTTCCTATTCTAAAAAGTATTTTCTTTCCAGCCAATAGACTAGCCAGATGTGTAACATTCCAATGAAGTACCGGCCAATCGAAAGTCATGTTGTTGAAGACCACTGGTTTTTGAAGAGTCATCACAATTTCTTTAGCTTCTTCTGGTGTAAATGGTTTGACTTGCTCACCTACAAATGAAACAAAGGGATTCATATCAAGCTAAGCTATCATATGAGAACAGTTGCAGCATTAAAATATAAAGATAACTATTCCGTATCCTATGTACTTCAAATGTTTTGTTTCATAAAATCTTGATGAAATAATGATTTTCTAATGTGCAGTATAGCAATGTGATTTAGAATTAATCTGAAATTAATCACAGGTCTCTAATTGACAAATGTTTAAAGGAAATATAGTGAAGAAAAAACAGCTTTTCCAAATGCTGACACCTCTTTATATAGCAATCTTCCCCAATCTGATTATGGTGGACAACAATGTCCATCATCCCTAGTTATTGAGCATTGAGGACAGTGGGATTTTAGTCCAATACATGGGGAAGCCAACTTGGAAAAAGCTGGTATAAAGCATTGTCATGAGATGGATGAAAGTGCTGATGCAATCTGTTTTGTGTAATTAAATATTTTCTGCAGTGTCAAACTTTTTTAAAAAACTCTTCAACTTAAAAAAAGGAAAACAGACTAAACAAGAAGTGTGCCTCCTCAAGGACTATGCTAATCCTAGATTTCAGTTTTTGCCTTAGATTTATATGCCCATTGAAACTGTCATCGTGAAATGTTGGCAGCCTTGAATAAACTTGGTACTTTTATAAAAATTGCCCTAAAGGGACATGTTAAATGAAAGGACCTTTTTTCATGCAAATATAACCATCCTATAGAATTTTTTAAAAAGCAGGTTATAGCCAGAAATTATAAAAATATTTTCCAGTATTGAATAACAATCTAAAGAAGCTATTTAATTAAAGTGTTTTTGAAAAGATGAAGAATATTTTGTGGTTTGTATGAAGTTATTGAAAATCACAAAACTTTCTGAAAGTTGGATCAAGGAACACAGTCTCCTCTTTCATCCTGCTTTCAGAATGCTAAAACCTGTAAAAGGTTCACTGAAGATACTCTGATGATTATTAAATACTGGAATTGGAAAAATTAAAAACTAATTCACCAAAGACACTTCTACTCCACTTTTCAGTTTTAAAAAGTTGAGTGGTTTTCCGATTTTTGAAAATTGGTAGCAATTATAGCAGGGGTAAAATGCACTTACCTTCACTACCAGATCAGAAATGTGAGTGCGTGCATGCACGAGCATGCACAGAGGGTCAAAACCGGGACGTGATGATGTCCCGGTGGGTGGGCAGACCCTCCCGCCCTCCCGCTACCGGCTCGTGCGAGCCGGATAGATCCAGCCGGATTTCACCACTGAATTATAGATAACAAACATTAGGGAACAGCTGAACAGTTTAAAATAATCAGAACATTGATAATTGTTTAAAAACATTTTTATGTTATGCAAATGAAACCAACTTTTTTGTTACTTCATTAACTGGCAATTCAAACAGGAAGCTATTTATTTATATGGATTATTTATATGTTTACTCCTAATAAGCAATATTCCCCTAGCAATTTAGAGAAGCAATTTAAAACCATAGAAAGAAGTAAAGCCACAGAACAATAACTTTAAATAGAATAAAACCATCTCCAACATAAAAACAAAGCTGGCAAGAACAATACTGAGATTGAGGAAAGATAACTATAAAATCTTATAAAATGTTGGTGCTATGCCATCTATTATTTTATCAAAATTTTGTTAAGCACAATATTGTATAAAGTAGCTTCCTTTAAACTGATTTCCTTCAGGTGTGTTAGACATTATCTTCTCTAATTTCATACCGTCTGTGAATTATGGTAATTGGTGCAACCCAGTTTGGAAAGTCTGGGATAGTTTACTGGGCAATGTGTGTTAAGTATTCATGAAATCGCTCGAGGTTTTGTACCTGTCCATTCAAATTAGAATTCAGGACTCCTGCTTTAGAATTTCATAAAGCCTCAGTATTCTTTGGAAGATTTTTTTTTTAAAAAGTTGGTACTACTGTCTTTACCAGAGCAAGGAGGCGGAAATCATCAGAACTAGGGATCTGCATTCTTAAAAAGAGCAGATAATTTAACCTACGGAATTTATTGCCAAACTATTGTAGTGGCCCGCCACTGGCCAGCAGAGCTGGCAGCAGAGTTGGAAAGTGAGGAAGTTGGGGAGGAATTTGGGCCAGTCCTGGGGGCTGGGGAAAGCTCAGACGAGGGCTCTGCATCGGAGGCAGAGAGGGAGCTAGACAGCAGCGAGACAGAGGAACAGCTGGAGCCTGTTCCCAGTGTGTGCATGCGCAGAGGTGCCAGAAGATAAGAACAACTCAGGAAGCAGGATCGATTTGGGAGTAAAGCCACACCTTGGAGGTGATTGGCCCCTCCCATAGGAAATAAAAGAGGAACAAACAGGGAGTGGGCTTTTGCAGGAAACAATTCGTTCATTCTGTGACTCTGAGAGACTCTGTGCCAAGTTTTGGCTTGTACTGCGTTTGGAAACAAGTTACGTGGCAGCTTGCCAAGCGAGATAAAGTGTGTGGATAAATATTCCTCTGAAAGACTGTTTGGACAGGCCTTGCTGACTGTGAATGAAAGTAATTCACAGTTGTGTACATAAAAGAGGTTTTGCCGGGACCGAGACTCTGCTTTCTGCTTTTTAAGGGAGCCTAGGTCAGAACAACTATGTTGCAATGGTGAGTCCACCATTGGATGGCTTTAAAAGGAGATTGAATGCATTCATGGGATACATTGATATCAAGGGCTACTAGTCCTGAAGACTCCATGCTCAGGGAGCAATATGCCTCCACATATCACTTGAAGGTGAAGGGGGGGCAGTGGGCTATGTCTCTGTCCCTTGCTTACAAGTACTTCAAAGAATCTGGTTGATCACATTAAGAAACTAAATGCTAGATCACAATGGGCTTCAATCTCATCCAGGAGAAAGGTTCATGTACTGTAACAAATCTAGTACAAACTCTTCTCACTCTAGCACTGCTGATGTTGTCTAGGTTTATTTATTTATTTATTTATTTTTCATATTTGTATACCGCCCTACTCCCGAAGGACTCAGGGCGGTGAACAACCATAATAAATACGAATACATATAGAAGTTAAAAACTATTAAGAAACAGATTAAGTAATTTAGGCTCAAAGATTAAAAACATCCAAATTTTTAATGGTAATGAAATGTCTGCAAGAAAACAACCAAGCTCAGAGAGCACCAAGGATCCCCCATTTCAACCCTGAGCTATACATGCTCTCCTTTATTGCTACTCTTCTAACTATTATCGAGCCAAGGTGGCGCAGTGGTTAGAGTGCAGTACTGCAGGTACTTCAACTGACTGCTAGTTCAGCAGATCAGCGGATCAAATCTCACCGGCTCAAGGTTGACTCAGCCTTCCATCCTTCCGAGGTGGGTAAAATGAGGACCCAGATTGTTGGAGGCAATATGCTATTTAGTATACTGTCTTTGGTGTAAGCCGCCCAGAGTCCTCGGGGAGTGGGCGGCATAGAAATATGAATAATAAAATAAATAAAAATAAATTATACATTTTGCTTTGGAGCGATTGGCAGCCAGTTTGGTGTAAGGAGTTGGCCTAGAAATCAGTAGACTCTCAGTTCTAGGCCTTTCGTAGGCACAAAATTCAGCTGGGTGACTTCGGTACAGTCACTCTCTCTCAGCCCAAGCCGCTTCATAGGGTTGTTGTGGGGAAAATAGAAAGCAAGAATATTAGGTATGTTCCCTGCCTTCAGATGAATAAAAAACCACCACCAACAACAACAACAACCCACAAGGATTTAATTGTCATCTTTTACTTTTTTGGTTTTGCATATCAAGTTTCATTTTTGTGATGTTTCACAAGGAGCGATTTGGATCACATGATATTCCTAAAACCGAAAAGGCAGAAGTGAGACTTAGCTCTTAGCATCACCCTCTGCTCCGTATCTAAAGGAGTGAGGGTTTCACAGGAGCTGTATTCTCTGACAAATGTTTCTGTTTCAGCCTGGCAAAGGGGAAGTTTGTCAGTAACCAAGCAATAAGTTCAATGCACAGAAAGCAAAATTAGACAGAGGGGACAGCCAATGGTGAACAACAATTCACCAGACACAGATACAACTCCTGGCAGGCTGCCTTTGTGAATGGATTAACTAGTTATTGGGCATACTATTGTGGTGACCTTGACCTGAGATTAAAGAAAAAATGTGTGTGTGTGTGTGTGTGTGTGTGTTTAAATCTTTCATGATAATAAAAGAGAACAAGTTTCCAGGACATTTTGATGGATTAAAAATTACACTGTTTGGCATTTCATTTCTGACATATTAGATTCTAAGTTCTATTTTACTTATTAGAATTCTGACATGCTTCCTGACACCCATTCATTTCATGGTAATAAAATACAGAGGTAGCCTTCCATGATCCAGCAGCTGTTCTAGCACTGTCTCCCAGTGAAATGCAATAATTCCTAGTTAAACTGTCCTTAACTGCTGCACAGCTGTCCTTTTGCTCCTTTTGCTTTTGTTAAGACTTTTCTACAAAGGTTCATCATGTGCAATACATCTGGAGTGAAATTCTAGGTCTTTGGAAAGGGGTTCTAGGGACCATAAAATAGCATGGATCTTTTGCCACAGAAAGAGATGTCCATGAGCAGAAATCTTCTTTCTTACCGATGCAAAAAAATAAAAAAAAAAAAAAATCCCTCTGCTTGTTGCTCCCAGCACTAATGGCAGAAAAGAGATTCCAGGTCTTCTTTTTGGGCAGATGCCAAGCCCTCCCCACACCCACTTCCAGAATGAGTGATAAAAGTGGGAATACTGATTATCAAGCAAGAATAGATGTTCCAATCAGAATGAGACCAGTTTTATTCTCTGATGCAATCAAAACTGCATCACCCACTACAAATGATGTCGGTTGCAGAAGATACAACAAACCACAGTGCATTTTCCTACTGTACTACCCCTTCAGGAAATGAAGATCAATTGTCTTCTGAGTTTCAGGTTGGAACACAGCCCAGTTAGCTTTGAGTAGAGATGGGAAACCAACAACCACTTGTGGCAACTGTTGTGGTAGATCTTTACTAAAATCTGGGCTATTATAT